CGTTGAAGGGTCGCTTACCGCTACCTGCCTTTCGGTTCGGCTGCAAAATAGGCGGCACGGCGCGCTCTCGGAGACGGTCCACTCTGTCGGCTGTAACTTCGTTATATATCGAGATATTGACTTGCAATTTTCACCAGATATTCTTGAGACCTCAAGCTTCAAGAAAATGCAAAAAAAATCGATTTTTTTCGACCATGCTAGGTGTATATCTCCCCTTAAATCTTCCTCTAGCCCCCTGGCCTGGATTGACTACCGCTTACTTAAAGCGGTACCTCCCCCCGGAATTGCTTACATGTCTACTCACCATTTTTAACAATCTCTTTTGTTGCTCTATTTTCCCAAGCCAATGGTCTTATTCTCTCATTCACTTAATTCCCAAACCTAACAACAATGGTGTTCGACCTATCTCTCTCACATCTTGTATGCTCAAGACATTTATTGACTCTCCACTCTCGGATCTTCTACCTGACAAACAATTTGGATTTCGTAAATTTAGATCCTGCCAGGATAATCTTTCTGCTCTCATCAACAGTATCCACACTGGTTTCCTGGCAAAACAGGACACTGTGGTCTTATTTATTGATATCAAATCTGCCTTTGACAACGTTCTCACATACATCCTTTTACAGGACTTTTCACGTCTGGTCTTTCTCCCTCTTATACTCGCTTTTATTTCCAATCTTATCTCACAACGTACCATCCAATTCGTGAATCAAGGTACGATCTCGAATCCGAGAATCTCCTACAAGGGCACCCCCCAAGGATCCGTCCTTAGCCCTACGCTATTTAACCTATACTTACGTAAAATCACTGATGCGCTACATCCCTCTACGGAACTCCTTCAATTCGCTGATGACATTGTCATCTTCTCATCAGATAAGGACACGACCGCCGCCATTCATTCAGTGGAACAATCCCTCTATGCCCTAAGTACATTTCTGGGCAAACGTGGCCTAGAGATTTCAATCCAAAAAACGTAACTGATGATTTCCTCTTTAAGGAGACCCTCTGTCCCGCCGAACTACAATATTTCATATCTAGAACAACGCATCCTCCCTTCCTCCTCCGTACGCTTTCTTGGAGTTTTCCTCGACCCCAAACTCTCTGGCAGAGCACATATGTCTTTCATTATTAATAAAGGCAAGAGAGTACTCCAGATCATCTCTCCCCTTAGGGGCACCTGGTGAGGGGCTCATTCTCATATGCTTATTACCATCTACAGATCTATGCTACGCACTTTCATCGAATATTCTGCCCACATCTTCGGGTTCATAAACAACGATAAATCACGTGCCCTTCAGGTACTTCCAAATCAAGCCCTCCGCCTATGCTTCGGCTATCGCACTTCTACCCCCCTCAACGTGATCTACGCGGAAACCGTCGAATTTTCTCTTTCTTTCCGATTTCGTGTTCTTGCCTCCCGATACTTTATGAAAATCTGTTCGGTGCGGGATCACCCAGCTGTGCTTAGGCTTCATGAACTCGGCGATTTAGCTATGCGTAAGAATAGATTGGACTATTTACGTGCCCACTTTCCAGCCGCACTTATCTTTCGACACATCTGGTCTTTTCATCGGGACATCGACTGCTCATTTACCCTACCTAACTTCCGGCACTTTTTTCACTCTACTACTACCTCTTTCTCTTATGCTTTTCTATCCGTACCCTCTCTTGAATCCTTAAAACTTTTCCCTAATCTATGCGCGCAATCTTTATTTGACTACGAATTCTCTCATCTTACGGCCGAATCCACAATATTTTACACAGACGGCTCTAAAGATGTCTGTGAAGTTAGCACCGCCATTTTGAAAAACAAAAAAAATCAAAATTGTGCTAGATTGTGCTAGGCTTGTGCTACGTTGTGCCGTAAACCGCACTTCGATATCTCAAAAAATGAAGCGAAAATTGAAAAAAATCGTTTTTAAGACCCAACACCGCCTTTTTGTCAGAACAAAAAAATCAAAGTTGTGCTAGATTGTGCTAGGCTTGTGCTAACTTGTGCCGCAAACCGTAGTTCGATGATGCAATTAGTTTATTTGAAAATCGCAAATTATGAAATAGTCGCAGCACCGCCATTTTCAAATACAAAGAATTTCAAAATTGTGCTAGATTGTGCTAGGCTTGTGCTACGTTGTGCCGCAAACCGTAGTTCGATGACGCAATTAGTTTATTAGAAAATCGCAAATTATGGAATAGTCGCAACACCGCCATTTTCAAATACAAAGAATTTCAAAACTGTGCTAGATTGTACTAGGTTTGTTCTACGTTGTGCCGTAAACCGCACTTCGATATCTCAAAAAATGAAGCGAAAATTGAAAAAATCGTTTCTAAGACCCAACACCGCCATTTTGTCAGAACAAAAAATCAAAGTTGTGCTAGGCTTGTGCTAACTTGTGTCGCAATGATTTTAACCGCCCTTTTATAATAACAGAAGATATTAAAAATAATTTTGCCCTTTTCGACTTTTCCGTTCACAAATCGGATTTGAAGTGCTACGATGCGAACAATTCTGAGCTGTGAATTTTGTAATATTGTTGCGCTCGCGGCACACGCATTAAGATCGCACACTCGGACACTTGCTCGATCACAGCACATTCTCGCACTCGCGCGCGTAAAAGAAGGAGATGTCTCTTTAACCCTTAACGGCCACACGGGGTGACTTTGTACCCCAAGGCTTAGGAAAAGTGAAATTAGAGGTCTAAAACATTTGAAATTGATACAAGTATCGACATCTGTCACTAGTAGACACGTGTGAGATGTGACTCCATTACATAGGAAGCCGAAAAATCGCATGGCGGCGCTTTGAGCGTTCGTTTCCTCGACGTTTTCATTTTTCCCTCATAACCGTAATTTTGCAAAATAAATATACTTTTTGAAAGATCGGCGTATACTGTTATTTTTTTATGGTAGTGGTGTATCTTGTGCGTACAATCCTAAAATTTTAGCCCTTAATATTGAAAAATGGCGGAGTAATGAATTTTTTTCTGAAAAAAGTCATTTTTGCCGAATTTTCACATATATGACCAGTTTTTAGAGCGCCATCTATAAATTGACTAATATAAATCATTAGAAATGTTGAAGAACTGTTCAACAAACATGAAACAATCGATTAGAAATCTTAAAATACCCATATATCTTGTACAAATAATTTTTTTAGCTGTGTACCCCGGTGTGGCCGCGATGTGGCTGGGCTGAGGTGTGGCCGCTAAGGGTTAATAGAATGAGTTTATTAGTAAGAAATTACAATTGCTTACGTAAAAAAATAGTCGCAGCGCCGCCGGTATATACGGTGCAGGTTTCCTATTATTCGGTTTTTCAATTATCCAATGAAGACAATATTGCATATCTGAGTTGTGCATTTTATAATACTGTTGCGCTCGCCGCACACGCATTAAGATCGCACACTTGGACACTCGCTCGATCACAGCACACTC